TTAATTATTTTCTTTAAAGTGGTCATAATATGCGCATTCTCTGGTTCATAATTGTATTTAGAGGTTGTACCAGAATAGGATTACATGGTTTAATTTTCAAAAAATATCATATTTTTGCTGCACCTCTTTTAACTCTGTGTGTTTACCACTCCATTTTAGCTACTGAGTGAAGCATGTCACTTCTATTTGTTTTTTGTTGGGAGATGCACGTGCGCAGTACCTAGGTAAGGACTACTAGCCAATCAGAAGCAGAGTAGAATGGGTCCTGACAAGCCGGTAATCATGGCTTGGGTTCAGCTGTATATGTTTCCGAACCAGCTTCGCAACCTAGACTGGAGCAATAGTTAGAGTGTAAAATTAATAATTTATAACAATTTTATCTTTCATACATAAAGTTTTAACTGTGCACTGTCTCTTCATCACAGTAACAACTTTATGTCCTCTGACTGCCTGGAGGTTATCTAACGTTTGGTAGTGAGGGTGGGGGTGAGGGGAGGCAGCGGGCAGCTCAGTGTGTTTTTGAGGGCGTACCACACTAGCCGTTGGCTAGCAATATGACACGTGCCGCAGATAGGTTATGGAGGCTGGACTACAATCAAGCTGTTTTCAGGCAGTTCAGGAGCAGTGTTTTCTGTGGGAAATGGTAACTTGCTTTCAGGTAGACCTTTTCCCTTTGCAAATCTATTACATACACAAAAAAGAGATATAACACAATAAAGAAATGGGAAAAAGCCAAAAAGCATAACATGACCTCTTTATGGCCTTCCTCTTTACTTAGAAAATCTGCAACCCCCTCGACACAACATGTCAAAATAATATAGCAGAGTTAACCTAGGACAACATGTTTGATTGTGTACCTCAGTATAAACTTTAATTTCTTAATGGAATTCCTAATGATACAGAGACATAACTGTTGTCCACTGCACATGGCAAAGTGCACCTTTAAGAACCGTGTCGCAAGTGAAAGTTGTCTTTTTGGCTATTAACCATATTGCAAAGGGAGGCTGAAACAAAAGATACATTTAGGACAAGAACAAGCTCTCCCAAAAAAGTAGACTACCCCCACCTAATAATTTTTGTACAGTCCCAAACTGTTTCAGCTTTACACAATTTGAAATAATGAATAAAAACAGAATTATGGCTTGTTTGTGATTATTACATAAACTGAAAATAATGCTTGTATTTTTGTTTTACTTGGAGGTATTCAGTAATCTCTCAGTAACAATACCACCTTCCCTCTCTCACCCACACATACACATATTGCAATAATAAAACTCTGCCCTCTGCTACTTTATATAAACATTACGGGCGTTAACCTTATTTTTGAGCCAAACCAGCACATTCTTGAAGCTGCCTGCTGTTGCAGAAGAGAGAAAAAAAGAGAAAAAGAAATGAAGGAATGGGGGGGGGCTTGATTTATTCTGCCTTATCAGCCAACTCCACCCACTGATATGGGATGTATATGGATCAGATGAAAGGCAGACAAATAATAAAAAAATCCTCTTCCTTGCACATGTCTGAAAGATGTTAAAATCCTAAAAACCTAATTTTGTGACAAAGAAGTGACTATAGCATTTATAAGTACAACACATATTATTTTCTTCTCGTCTATTCAGCATCAGCATCAGTTTCTGCTCTGAATAGGTCATCTCACGCTCACTCTTGAGTGTGGCTTAATAAAGCTCTTACAACAGAAAAGAACATATTGTGAATTTCACTACATGTTCCCTTTTTCACTTGTGAGTATATGACAGTTATGCACAAAAAGACTCACAGAAAGGGTAATTATGCAGCCATTACAGCAGTGATAGTGTCACAGCAATGAGAGAGCCGATGATTACCAAGAAACAGTGGCGTCATTGATCACATAGTCTGTACCAGACCTCTGAGTATCACCACACTCTGAGTTGGACAGTCATGTAAGATTCCTCCATTTGTTGTTTATTAAAAAAAGAAAGGAATTGCAAACATTGCTCACAACTGTTGTTAAGGGTGTAGGTGTAGAGTTTTGCCACTAGAGAGCACCAGGGACTGTATAAAGACAGACTTCTGTCTAGTGTCTTTCTTCCTGACTGTCTGTCTGCAAGCCACTTTTTTTGTCTTTATGTCCATATTTTTTATCAGTAATGTTCAGCCTATATCTACATTTGCCTTAGAAGTTAACATTAACTGTACAAGGCATCAAATAGAATTTCACAATATTAAAAATCCTTATCTGTTTAGTTGAAACTGACTTATCATTTAATATGATATTTACTGAGATCATCACACACATCCATTAGCTGTCCACCCTCAGCTGTTTGCAGATCGGTTGCCTGTCTCTCTGCTGCTTTACATTGCAAATACACCCGTGTTTACATTTGCTCCATAAAGACAATGGTCACTATGGGTTACCTTGACTCACAACACAGGTAACCAATCAGAACTCACAGGGGGGCAGTTCTCTGGGGAAAAAGAGGAAGCAATAACTGACAAAAGCTGAAGAGAGGAAGAAAAAAAAAAAACACAATCTACACTGATGTAAAGTCTGTGTGGCACTATCCTTGGTGAGTGGAAATTCGCAAAAGGAAACAGATCTCACGTCTGTAAGCAGATGAAGGTAATGTGTTTGCCAAAAGAGATGAGAACAATTTCCGTTTCTCTTTTGGATCCTCCAGGCAGCTGCTGCTTTGCCACATATAGACACAATCTATAACACAAGGTAAGCCCACTGATTCTTTTTCCACGTGACAGGCCTACTACTCTGTATAAAATACTAAATACAACAAAAGAAAGTAAATGCTAGTAGCTCTTTGGGTGACTGTATATCGCATGACATGTTCTGAAGGGAAAGTGAAAGTATTTTTCAGTGAGTGTGTGTGTGTGTGTGTGAGAGAGAGAGTCTCTGAGCATGGCTGTTTGACGCAGTTTAATCTCCCTGCCAGAAATGTTTGTTAAAAAATGCCGGTATATGATTTACTTTAAATGACAGCCCAACCACACACACACACATACGCACAACAGGAGGGTCGTTAAAACAGAGGTGTGTTGTGACCATCTCCACCATTCCCCGATTCCACACATACACACACACACACATCATATTTCACTGTGTTCATTTAACAAGGCCGGGTTACCCTAAGCAACAAGAGGGGCTTATCAGCTGCTCCCTCACTTGCCATACTGTTATCAGCCTGGCCTAGTTCACACATACACACTCTCTGCCCCTTTCTGTCAAACACACCCGCACTCTATCTCGGTCTCTGACTCTCTCACACACACAAGCGCACACTCGCGCGCAAACTGGGGAATGAATGTTATGGGGGCTTATCAGTGTCCTTAGGGGCCTGGCAGCCACTTCACAGACTCAGATCCCAGTGCAGAGGCCACAGAGACAAACCTATGTGACCAGACTACAGATGAACACTGGCTCTGTAATGCTAGAGATGTTCTCTATAGAAGTGGCAGGCTGCAGGGCGCACTGACAATGAACATATACACATGGCACAATGGCAGTCAGTGGCGGCTGCCGCTCGAAGAACGAAAAACAGCACACATACAGATGTTTTTTTAGGCTGTGACATCAGCGCAGTGAACTCTCATTGTCTTGCTCACTTCTACAAAACACAAAATGCAAGCTACACTCTTCATGTTTTGTACACATTCACTGACTTGCCATACTGTACATCTAGAGCCTGATTTTCAAGAAAGTAGCGATTAGTTAATTAAGTTTACCCTGCACTACAACAAAAAATACAGTTCATTTAAAAACATCAGTTATGTAGATGAAATATACCTCTAATTGGGCTACTGATTATTTTCTTAGAAAATAGAGAAGAAATGTGAGAAATTCATGAAAATGCCCATCACATTTTGCCACAGCCTGGGGTAATGACTTGTTTTGTCTGCCCAACAGTCTCAAACTTAAATATTATATTATATATTCAACTTACTATCATAGACCAAGCTTCAGCTCTAATCTCTCCTATAATCAAGCTTTGCAAACTAAGGACCATTGCTGCTCACTAATTCGAAAAGCGTACACTGCTTTGAGAAGAAAATGATCCTCCATGTCCTAAGCAAATCATTGAGCACCAAACAACTGCTCACATCAGAGGAAGTCGAAAATGAGCAGGCCATTTTGCTGGCACAGATGTTGGCAGCGGTCTGGCACAGGAACTCAGGAAGCGGTGCCTCCTAACTGAGCTGTGCTTCCTGTGTGATAACTGACCCAAACATGTTGTGCGTCTATCACGCACACACAACGACAAAGAAGCGCACTCCCACTCTCCCTCTCTTTGGCAGCTGGGGTATAAAAAACTCAGGGACTGTGAGACTACCAAGACTGTTTCAACCAAACTGGGGATTAATTGGATTTCAAATGTAGGAGCTCAGTGATTATTATTTAATTCCTTGGAAGCGATTTGTTCACAGTGGGAGATCTATTGTACACAAAACCTAAATGCTGCTGTATACACCACATGATCTTCAACGGAAAGGAGCTGAAGGTGAGTGCAGGTGTGCCAACAGTGTTTACAACATAAATCTGACAGTTGTGAGGGGGAGGCCGCTGTACAGCAGCAACAGAAGAGACTAAATTCATTATGAAGGACTGAAGAGCAGGGATGGTCAGGGCACTGATGCAGGAAAATAAGAGAAAGGACTGGAACCGAGCGATTAAAAGGAATTAACAGTGATATGATGGCAAGAGAGGAGGCAAAGAGGAGAGAATAAGGGGGAGTAGAGAAAAGGAGTAGATTTTGCAGTTTTGTTCTGAATGTCCTCTTCACAGTCATGTTGTACGTGGACATAACACCCCTGAAACCTTGAACATTGTGCAAAGACGTGAGATGTCTCAAGTTCAACACCAGCTGCCTCCCTCTATCACACACAGCCAAGGCACACATTGCAGTGCAAACGCTTCCTTCCTGTTGCTGGTTTAGCCTCTTTCAGAAGCAAGATAAGAACCTAAAAACGAGATACCGGTATATGAAAGAGAGAAGCAAACTGAGCTGCTCAGATCAGAGTGACCACATTTCTTTATTTGGACAATCTATGAAAAAGTCTAACTGGTCACCACTCGATATTTGCTGCAGGTGTGGCACTCTCACTGTGTGTTTTGCCTCTAACGGCTCTCCAACCACCACCACCAACCCCCCTCTCTCTGTTCTTCTCTGGCAGGTTCAGTCAGACCACAGGACAATTTAGCAGCCCCCACTTCCTCATCGAGAGTCGAAGCAGAGCGAGAGAACATGAGTTTCCTGTGACGCCTCTGTGTCTCTGGTCAATTAGTAGACTCACATCACTCTTCCACTATTGAACTGTGCTGCATGGAAAGAGACGGGCCTCGTCGTATCCTGAGGGAAGCACTCTGGTAGATCTACACTGACAGTCAATCGCTGTTCATCGGAAGATTCTCCCCAGAAACACTGGATCTGTCGGGACACGAAAACACATCCGTGCAGTTACTAATAGTCTTCGGAGGAAAGCTGTCATGCTGTTTTCACACAGTTAAGGTTGTGTGTGGGTTTGGGATATTCAGCCATGCTACAGCAGTCTGAGCTCATCTTTGACTTCGCCAGTGACCATGTTACCATGTCACAGGTAAGTAAATGTTACGCAGGGATTAACTTCTTGTTGAAACAAATCATGCAGCAAACATATCAGACGAATCTGACAAAAATTTTGTCTAACCTAATATTTTTTCTGTGCTTTGCAGTTGGGGGTTTACTCAGATTACCCTGCCGTGATTGTAGAACAGGTTCCCCACCCACACCTGCTTTCATATGCAGGTCTGGCGTGTGAACAGTCACATACAGAGGATCACCATCACCAGCAGCTGCTCAAAGGTCAGTGCAAACAACACACACACACACACACACACACACACACACACACACACACACACACACACGATCCAGCCTTTCTTTACCTGTCACAATAGTATTTCATGATTGAAGCTCACCTCTATTACCATGGTTTTGCAACGGTCTACCTTTGCTATGATTTTATTAAAGTCTTACTTGAGTTTAGGACCGCACATGCGCAGTCGCTACCCTCGCACATGGACCACCCTCTGAAAAATTCAGGAAGTGAAACAAAACATTCCTGGCTTGTGCCTGAGAAAGACAGTTAATAAATCAAAAAAGGATGTAGACGTGGTCAACTAGGGCTACAGCACACATGCTATAGCTTCTTCCTCACCAGTGCTGGCACTTAAAAGTAAGTTATATCACCGTATTGGGTTATTTTTCCGACATTAGTCCAGTTGGAGCGAGCGGTTGTCGTGGGGCAGTGGCGTGGCGAGGCTCGGTTATCTAGCTAACGGGACTGCAGCAAAGCAACAGTCGCAGACAGCTACGGACTACTTACTGAAAAATTGCAACCGCTTGGGACAGCAACTTACCTGCTGTGTTTCTTTTAAACATGGTCACTTGTTTTGGCAGGTCGTTTGATGGTTTTCTCGGCGGAAGAAAGTGTTTGAGTCCACAACAAACAGCTGTTAGCTAGCAGATGTTGTGTAGCTCACTGCTTCTCGGTCTGTTGACATCACACAAATACATGCGCACAAAACTAATAGCCTTATATTTTGCTGTTTGGAGCCAAGGACAAATAGGCAGTAAAGTTGCTGCACACCTTCATTTGTGGCGCGCGCAAGTAACGTTAGGGTAATATGGATCAAATCCTCTAATCACAACATCTATATTTTTATATCATGATTAATATACGTCATGATAAAATAAATTATCTAGAAAATCCACTGAGAAATGGATAAATAAATGGTTAAAGCTTTAAGCAGCATAAACTTAAGAGGCATATGTCTTGTTTAATATAGCCAGAACCATCTACATGGCTAGATATTTCTAGTGTTGAGAGATCTGGCTCAACCGGCTCTTGAAAGTCAAGCTTAATCATCCTTTATGTTCCTCCAATCTAAATGCCCCTGACTGCTAAAAATTGTTCTTGTTCGTTACACCTTTTATTTCTCTGTGGTCTGTAGTGGAGCCATGTGAAAGTGGAGAGGAAGAGACCATGGAGACACTTGTTGCAGCTGACTCGCTTCTCAACATGGACTGCCCTGACACCCTCTCCCTGGAACAATACTGTAAGCACACGCACACCTGAGCGAACACCATTCACATGCACACTAACAGAGTGAAGTCCTAATAAAACCGCGCACCCTCTGCTTTTTTGATGTAAGACATGTTTGACTGCAAGATGTTATTTTTAGACGTGGTGGTCACAGTGCTGTTCACTTTCATTAAATCTGTTTATGCCCCCCTGCAGCCCAGACCTTCTTACCATCACTGGGCGATGTCATCACTACTCCTGTTACCCAGGTGACTGTGTCAGCGGAGGGGATAGTGGGAGCTGTTGACCAGCCACGTTGGCACTCATTGCACACAAAGAAGCCTGCGGCACAGCTGCAGTCCAAAAAAAGAGGTCAGTCACTTTCTGGGTTATCAGCTTATCTGAAACTTAATTATGGCTTCTGTGATTATATTAAATCTCTTGTAAGTAACCTGCTTTTATTCTTCGACTCCTCAGGAAGAAAACCTCGACATAGAAGGGCTGAGTCTCCCACACCAGACATTATAGTGAAGAAGGACAAATACAACAAAGGTACTGTAGCAAAATTTGCTAGCTATGGACCTCATTACATTACAGACTTGCACCTCATTATGTCAATGTGGTGGCAGTTTCACATATTGATATCAAGTCTGAATAAGTGCCAGAGTCACCTTTACATAAAGGTTTCAACAGACGTTTCAGCAGGTCAGACCTAGTAACGTTTCCGTAACACCTTTAGTACGGCGCAAGTCTGAATTAAATGTCATCAGAGTTACGGAAAGGCTGCAGAGAGACATCAAGTGCATGTCTTGTTTGCCTTCTGAATACCAGCTGTAATTAATTATTACATAAAATCAGTCAGAAAATCAGGTGGATGGTAGCTGACAGATAGTTTACAAAACCCACAAACATCGTGAATGAGTGAAATTTGACATATTTTGAGTATTTGACCTGTGATCAATTTATAAAAATATGTTTGCTCCTCGTGGTGTGGAAGAGTTAAAAATGTATAGTATAGTATAACACTGCAATAATAATCAGAGCAACAGCACTCCCCCAATATATTTTTATGGATAATGAATGAATTTCCAGCAGCAGTGCTAAACTGATTGCATGTTAGCTATCAGGAATTAAACCTCCCATCTTAAAGCTGGTGAAGGCAATTTATTTCTGAAGCATGTATTGTGATATTTGTTGAAAATTCTTTACATTCTGACAGCAATCAAGAAATCCAGTGCTCTGACACAAAAATTAAAATAATCTGTGGCTGTCACGGGACTGTAAGAAGCACGGCCAATCATTTCATTTGGATTGTTAATTTTTTCCGTCGGATACTTTCCTCAAAATCTATCTGTCTCTTACAAGTTTTTCCAACGTGGCCTACCCCAACTTTAACGTCTTGTCAGTCTATGCTTGTAGTGTGTCAGATTTTAGAAATTAGTCAGCGGAATTTGCAAAAATTATTAGTCATTGATTAAGGCTTCTAAAGCATAATACGTTTTACAATCACTGAGAACACTTCCATGAAATCCTAACTTTTAAACTCAGAGCTCTTCTGTAACAGTGAGCTAGTGAGCTCTAGCTAAATACAAGCAAATGGGTCATTCTTTAAATGTCCTGTCATATCTGAATAAGCTATGTTGGAAGTATTTACATAAGTGGCCCCCATGTCTGAATGACAAAAAGGCATTGGACTGCAATGTTACGTTTTTCAGGTCTGAAAAGGTCCTTGAATGGATGAATCGCAAGGAATTCATCACTTTTGCGACACAGCTTTTACAAAAGTTATTTTACAGGTTGTAACTCTTTCTACTTCCATGTTTTTGCTTCAGGAGGAAACACACTGTACCTCTGGCAGTTCCTGATGGAGTTGTTGCAGGACCGACAGGTCTGCCCCCGCTACATTAAATGGACTAATCCCCACGCAGGAATCTTCAAGTTGGTCAACTCTAAAGCTGTGGCCAGACTCTGGGGCAAACACAAAAACAAGCCAGATATGAATTATGAGACAATGGGCAGAGCACTCAGGTATACTAGAAAAAGGCCGCTCAAAAACATCATCATAACATGGTAATTTCTTTATTTGAGTAAAATATGTGTGTGGTTTTGTTTTGTTAATTCTGAACCTTTGTGTTCATGAAGGTACTACTACCAGAGAGGCATACTGAACAAGGTTGAAGGCCAGCGCCTCGTCTACCAGTTCACTTCTCTGCCCAAAGACATGATTTATATCACAGATGGAGATTGCACCAAAGAGGAAGAAGAATACGACGACAATAGTGGCAATGATGAGGGTGTGAGTGACGACTCTGATGACAGCACAATACCTTCTAGTGACCAATCGGTGGCGGAGGAAGATTTACACCCACCACAGAAGAAAACGTTGACCAGCTCTGTCCGAGCCCCGGCTGCCCAGCGGAGCAGACCAGCTCCCAGGCCCTCAGGCCAGCGTGACACCGTCCTGCGGCCTGCCAGCACCAGCTTGATCCAGGAGCAGCATTTGCCTATTGTGTCTGCTGAGATGCTGCGGACTCTCCAGAACCTGCCGAAGGTCCAGAGCCTGCAGCCCGCGGGTCACGCGTCGGTCTTCAGAACGGCTCAGCTGCTGGGGAGTCTGTGTGAGCAACAGGCTGCTGCTGAGGAGATACCTGATGAAAGGTCACACTCAGGACAGAAAACTTCACAAGTGGAGACTCCTCAGCTGGTACCCCTAAGTGGCTCTGACCAATAGAAGAGACCGATGCCCAGTCAATCCCAAACACACACATGCACATACACTCCACTGACTCAGGACCAGTTACAGAGCTGCACTTTGCTGTGGCAATGTCTGCACACCAGGGCTTTTGTTACTGAAGTGTGTAAGAGCAGGAGTAATTGCTCTGGGATTATTTTTGTGTTTTAGACTATTATGAATTGGTAACAAAAGTAATTCTAAATCAGTACTTCTTCTCTGACATCTGAGTTGGCAGGAACTAAATTCTCACAGCATTCAGCAGGTTACTTTCTTAGAAGACAAAAGCTCACTTCCTTTATCTCAGCCTTCTGTCCGTCTCTGTAGCTGTTAACTATACAAGACACCAAAGACAGACATGCACTGGAATCTACAGCCCTTCTGCACCTCCTGCAGACACACCCTCTGCTTGCACTTAACCTCCTGCATCATGGAGCAAATGGCCTGATCAGCACACACTGTGCCCTCCTTCTCTGCCTTTACTCTCGCGCTTTCCCACTCCACATCTTTTGTTGTTCTGTCACATGCTGAATCATTCCTCTGCCTTGAAAATGGCTTTGCACTAATGTTTACCTCTGCTGTATGTTTCTTCTCTAAAGTGCCTGAAGACCTCAGTCTACCCTGTTCCTGCTTCCTCTGTTCCTGGTAATCATGAGGTTATTGAGGGAAAACATTCCATGTTATTATTTTTTAAGATCACTGAATTAAGATTTTTATTGTGAAAATGTTGAAAACAAGGGATCACTGTTATTTGTAGAATATTAATTTAGCACTGCTGCTGTTTATAGTGGATGTATCTACACAGCGGGCCTTCCTTTTGTTGACAATCACCAGTGAAATGGCCTTGTAGCCTTTTATTTAGTTAAAATGGCCTCCTGCAGAGTCATACTGCTACTATTTAGCCTTTCTGCTATGCACACACTCTGTTTTGTTGTCACACATATATAGATGCATATATGGACCTAAAGCCTTGAAATCTTTCATTGTGATATATACTGTAGGCTATGTCTGTGAACATGCTTGACTTTGTGCCTTGTTGCCATTTTCTCCCTCAGGTTTGTAAAAATGTGTTTTCTGCACAGTGTACTCAATGCAGTAAAACGGCTGGCCCTGTATAATGAAGTAATGCGAAGTTCAGTGTTTATTCTCTTCAATTCTTAGTTTAGCCTTACAAAGGTCAACTCACTCCAGTTTGAGATTTGAAAAATTGAGCTTGTAAGATTAAGGCAGACTTCTGTCAGGGCTGTAACTAACGATTATTTTCACTGTCGATAAATCTTATTTTCTCAAATAATCGATTAGTTGTTTGGTCTATAAAATGCCAGAAAATTCTGAAAAATGTCAAGATGACATCCTCAAATATCTTGTTTACTGTCATAAAGGAGTAAAGAAACTAGAAAATATTACATTAAAGAAGCTGGAGTCAAACCGATTAATCCTTTAGTATAAATAGTTAGTGATTAATGTGATCAATTAACCGTTGCAGCCCTACTTATAACTGTGCCTTTCTCCAGGGAGCCCTATGCAAAGCTGTTTTCACTTTATTAGTGAGTAAACCATTTAATCATTTTGCTTTATCTGTCTGTTGATACTGTAATTTTTTACTGATGTGGATTTGTGGGCTTGTAGCAGAGGGAGAGGTGGAGTTTCTGTTTCTTTATTTCTGTGTGTTTGCTTTCGTGCAGTCCAGATGTGTTGAAAAGATAATGGTCTATTATATGAAATAAACTTAATTTTATCATTGTCTGTGTGAAATTTATCTTCACTCATTTATTCACCAACATCTAGTTTACTGGCATCAGTGGATATACAAATAACTGCTAACTAAGTACATTTATGCAAGTACTGTACTTAAGTATAATTTTGAGATACTGGTGTGCAAAAATGTGATACCATTTTCTTCAACTTTATTCTTGTACTCCGCTTAAATTCAGATGTAAATATTGTACTTTTTACTGCACTACATACATTTTTACAGCCTTAGTTGCTTAATTAGTTAGTTGCTTAGTATTTTGGAGATTAAGATAAATAATCAACAAATAAATGTAATGTTTTATTAGGATAAGACTGTATTAATCCCTTTTGGGAAATTCAAATGTTACCCAGTAGTATATTAAGTAATTAAAATGAGCTCCACATTTACCAGCTGCAAGATTAAAATGTTGCATCAGTAATTATAATTCATTTATATAAATTATTCTGAATTTGGCCATTGTCCCTAATGAGTATGTTTACTTGTACTATATTTTGATGCTATACCTAATAACATTTTCGAATGCAGGAATTTCTAAACTGTGTTATTGCTACTTTTGAGTACATGATCTGAGAACTTCTACAACCACTGTTCCTGCATAACCCACTACATTTCAGGGACATATGCACAGCTATGGTAACTAATTGCAGATTAACATTTTACTTACAAAACAAGAATCAGCTCATAAAATAATGTGAAATATAGGTGAAACTGTTTGGGTAAAAAAGTAGGTCAAATTTGCTTCCTCAAGCTACAATAAAATGCTGCCTATCTACAGTGTTGGGAAGGTTAATTTAGAAATGTAATAGGTTACCGATTACAAGATACCCTATATAAAATGCAATAGTAGTGTAACTATTTAAGTTACTTTATTAAAGTAATGTAACTTACTACATTTAACTACTTCTTGAATACTTTTCTAAATCTCTGATGAATGTTTTCAACTGTTAACCATTTTTTCAAGACAGCTTGAAAGAGAAATTTAACTGGTGGGGCTCAACGGGTGGTGCTTTAAATTCAAATATGAGAACCAATCAAAAGCATCAGAATAGCATCAAACTTTATTAAACAGCTGTGGCTGGAAATGGCAAAAGAAGACATTGTGCACAATAGTTAATACTATATAGTTTAATACTATAAGAATATAATTGAGGAGTATTTTGTTGTGATGTATTTCTACTTACTCCACCACTCACTTGTTTTGAGGTTAATAATAAAGTGAATTTTGAAGCTCAGTGTGTAAGTTTTAGTGGCATCTAGTGGTGATGGTTGCAAATTGCAACCAGAGGCTCACTGTGCATTCACACATGCTCCTCGGGTGAAATAAGTTCTTTATAAGAATATATTAATTATTCAATTCTGACCTGTTATTCAGCAGTAAAAACTTAACTTTGTACTTTTTCTCCATGATGTTTTACATTATATCAATTTAATTTATAAATCCAACCACAAAAAGGCTTTGAAAACTGTCAACAAATGGACTCTTTTAATATTGTTATTTAAGGCAGGAAAAGCAATCTGATTATTCCGACACAACATGAATGAACCATCAGTCACTGCCTGTATATAAGAAGTGGACGTAGTCATCGTGACATCAACCGTTGGTTTTTGGACTGCTGTTTTGTAGCCTCGAGTTTGGCCGATAGGTTGTCACCATGTTGATTTTTAGCAACCGGGAAGTGACCAGAAGTGACCATATTTGGACGAGACGCGGAGCTAACGGCCGCATGTGTAGCTAGCTAGCTTGCTTCGCTAGGTGCATCTGTAATTCACGTTATTGTCATTTTAACAGGGCTGATAACTTTGTCTAGCGAACAACTGTCTTAAAACTAAATGTTCTCACCAGAGAAAGTGAACTCCTAATAAGCTTTTGCGCTGGTTAAATTTACACAGTGCCATGGCTACGAATCATCGCTAGCCTGATTGACAGGTCGCCATGGTAACGACTTGTCAATCATAGATACTCCCATCCTGAAACATAATCTGCTTTATGGTCAATTTTAAAGTAAATGGGACTATTATTTACTAAGTGAACATCATTCTGTATTGAAGAAGACTTGAAACTAGCGACTGAGACCATAAACTCATCAGGAAAGTGTTTACTGAGGTAATTATTCAGCTGAGAAGTGGGGTCATTTTCACATTATTTCTAATGGAGCCAGACTTGTTTTTGCAACCAGAAGAGTCGCCCCCTGCTGGCCGTTCAATAGAATAAAGGTTTCAGGGACTCTCTGACCTGAAGTTTCCCACTTGGTCACTGCTCACTAAGCGTGGAGGAGAAGCTCCTCTATTTGTCCAAGTTTTTCTTCTTTTCTTACTTATAATAAATCAGACGACTACCACTACTTCTACTACTACTACTACTACTACTAATGTTACTTGCTCTTGTTCTTCTCCTTTTCTTCTTCTTTGTGAGTACCAAGTACTCAGCATACTGACAAAACGCGCTCTGTAGAGCAGTTTGTCCATTTGGGTCACTGTAGAAAAGAAACATGGCGGCGCAACATGGTGACTTCCATGTAAGAGGACCCACGGTACATGCAGATGGCTCATTCTATGGTTATAAAAACATAACGGTTTATTAAGTAAGGTGTTTATACACCACTGAAAACATAGTTATGTATATTATATTGCATTTCTGTCAATAGAGCCTCCTAAATATTATACACTGGACCTTTAATGTCAGAGATCAGAGATGTGTTGCCTTTCAGGACGCTGTCATGTCATGCGTCCTCCAGGCCTTTAGGTGACGCAGTGGCAGTGTGAGCGGCGGTCGGATCGGATGTTGACAGGCCCTGCTGCTAGGCTCAAGCTGCTGCTCCTATCACGTTTCCAGCAGTTTCCACATCTTGCTAGAAGTTTCCTGCTACTCTAGAAACACTGTCCACATCCACAGCAAGCCCATGGCAACCGCACGGCAAGTGCAACATATAATGTGAATGAGCTTTTTTTATATTTTCAATATATTTGTTTATACGCAGCCGGCTAACTGTCGGTCTCTCCTTTCGTTTTAGCAGCTTCCCCGATAGCTTCATTGACGAAGATCCACAGAAAGCTCTGGAGGTAAACATTGGCGTTAGCTAGCCGTAAACAAATAGCATGACGGTTTTAATAAATTTCCGGTTATCACGTTAGCATTAACTTCTTCTGACCAGCTGTATATAAAGGAAGTTGAGTGCAGTGTCGGTGGTGTTAATGTTTCTGATGTTAGCGCTGACTTTGACACTAGCTAACAAAGTTAGCTGACGTTTCCTGTTAGCACACTTTACAGTAACAGTACAATTTCTAAATTAGCAGGACATTTATTTTATTCTGCTTTACCAACACATAAAATGCAACCTTTCTCAGTCATAAGGAGTTATTACGAGCTAGATAACGTGCATGATAAATAGTGTTTGTCATGCTGTCAGCGTGTTCAACAGATTCAAGTATAAGTTAAGTCGGTAACGAAATGCTTTTCTACTTTGATTGACTTGTTAAGATTTAAAACACACTTTCAATGTAGTAGTTCCTTCCAGTTCGTTATTAATGGAATAATAATGGAATAATGGAAACTGCTCTATGATCACTACTACGGCTGCCATTCCAGTTCGGGTTAAACATACAGTACTCAGTTAGTATTAATGCTAACGTTACTCATAATCAGCACATTAATGACTTTATTTGCCAAATAGAGCCCAGAATAATTTCAGTGTTTTCTCGCCGCTGCTGAATCACGACCGCCACTACTAAAATTTCCCACGATCATTAAACTATGCGCTACAAATGTTTTGACTCGCACACTGTGCGAGCTCGGCAGCACTCAATGCTCGGCTCGCTTCCTCTCCTCGTTCTGTGCAGAACATACGTGACAGATGGTTTTATAAGAGCAGCGGCAGAAAGTGACGGTGAGCGGAGGAAAATATTCTGGCAGTAAATGTGCGGTGTCTGTTACAGTGTGTTAGCTTCTCAAGACCAAGAAAAGTCTATTGTTTCGCACCTGCTGGAAAAGTTAGCCCCTTCAGACTGCGCAGCTGAGCAGCAGCTACATAGCTGCTATGTAACTTAACATTAGCTCAATTTATAGAAAGCTGTAGTTTATTACTACCAAACGTTACTTGTCCAATGTTGAGAACATCAGGTACAAACTTAGACTAAACTGGTGTAGCCTGCAGCTCTGTCCTGTACAGACTGATTAAATTATTTTTCAGTTTTCAGTCCGAAAAGGTGGTTTTGGAAAAGAAAGGAAGGAGGTGACTGGAGGAGCTGAGGTTAGTAAGGCTAATTAGTGATGCAAACTAGTCCTTTTAAGCTAATGAGGAGATGTTTCTTTTTGGATTTTAATGTGCAAATAAAATGCACCTCAGAAGGGAGGATGTTTCTCATGTTGCCTATTTTTTATATTAATGTCTACAGATAAATGTCAGAAGCTGTAAAATGAAGACACAAAAGGCAAACATGAACAGTCGTATCTATAATGATTCTGAGGTCATATTAACAGGGTTTTCCGGCCTTTAAGGCTTAGGGGTGACTGTAAAATCACTGTGGAGCAACAGAACCAACCAAATTACTTTCTCCAGATCTAAAGGTTGTAGTTCCTCCAGTAGACGGATCTTTGGGTGTTGGTTATTCTGCTCTAGCTTTTCTAACTATTTGTTCAGAGTTCTGGTGAAAATAATGGCCCAATATGATGTGAAATTACATATTTTCCATTGGAAAACAATGAAAAAAATCCTAGAGGAAACACTGATAATACAGTACCAAAAATGCTTTGTGGTGACAGGGTAGTAAACAGAGGAACAAACCAGTCACCTTTTGTTTAGTGTTACTTTTTCTTTGTTGTAACTGTATCAAAACAGTACTGTAGACTGCCCATTTCTGCCATCCCTTTCCCTCTAGGCTCTTAATGAGGCCTTACAAGGAGACCCTGACAACGCTGAGTGGTTTTGCCAGCGTGCCTATGCCCACATACTTATGAAAAATTACAGTGGTAAGTCTACATACGTGTGTTGACAGACATGTTGGTTATCACACAGTCTTTTTCAAGAATGAATATGCATTAGCGTAGTTGCTTGCAGGAAATATAAATGTCCTCCAGTTTTACTGGAAACTGTTTTGTTGTGGGTTTTTTTTTGATAACTGCTCACAGTATATAATAATATAACTGGGTATGGTTCCTCAAACACTGGAGTAACTGTTGTGGTCCAGATTGAGATCCTTGAATTAATATTATGGTAGTAGTAGTAGAGGAAATTAGAGTGGCATGAGTATTCAAGTGATACAGTCTGAACGAATGTTTGTGTATGATAAACATTGTATTGTCTTTTCTCTGCAGGTGCTGTTGATGATGCCAAAAAAGCACAGCAGCTACAACCCAGCCTTCCCCTTGCTTTCATGCGAACAGGGTGTGTACTTTAATATGATAAAGAAAAATATGGAAAATCACACAAACAAATACAAATGCGGGACAAATTAAAGGAACCTCCTGAATAATAGAGGGGAGAAACATATCAAATGAAGTTTCTTCCGTGCATCATGGCACACTGAATGTTTGATGAGGTTGAAAATGAAGTGAATGAAATGCTACAGCCTTTACAGTCACCACATCTCAACCCAGTTTTACACCTATGAAAGATTTTGGACCAGTGTGAAAGACAATGCTCACCACCACCATCTCCATGTCTGGCTATGCTTGGTTTTCATTCTATCGGCTGTACTCTGGCAAAAGAGATCTTGATCTCAATGATAATATCTGGTTAAATAATACCTTTTTTATATAAATGATGGAATATCTTGTTGAAGAATGGTGTTCATTCCCCAATAGAGTTCCACAGACTTGGCAAGGCTGTTGTGGAGGCTCATGGTGGCCTCACTCCATACTAAGACACTTCATGTTGGTTTTTCCTTTAATTTGTCACCCATCTGTAGATGTTTGGTGTGTGTTAAAGCTTCAGTGATGATGATGGATCCTGTGTTATTTTTTGCACAAGCTGTAATAAAAAGTTTATTGGTAAATCATGAGCTATGCTATGCGTGAAAGTGAAACACATGATTCCAGCTGCTAAAGTTTTGAGTTTCGTTAAAACTGACACATTTACTTTCAAAATGTACAGCGTTTTATATTAACAGTTCATCTTTTATCTCCAGATAGCCATAAAGTTTATGTTCAAGAATTATTTTCGTCATTTAACTTTTTTAAGTACATGATCCAAATTTTGTCACAAGTCACAGGTCACTTTCATTTTTCTGTGATAATCCGATGTAAGCGTGTGTGACATGTTTTTCCTTTCCCCAACTGCAGAATAGCAGAATACCACCTGAACCGCTATGAGTCAGCACATGCAGCTCTCACTAAGGGACAGCAACTTGATGGTGAGTACAGCCTATTTTGGCCTCGAGTACAAACTTTCCATCATCCCACTCTCTACCCAACCACTGTTCGCAGCAGTAGCCTGTCTGCCTCACTCTTCTTTTTGTCACTCTCTTAAGTGCAAAATCTGTCTCCTTGAATGTTGGTTATATTACTTTAATAGAGTTCACAAACCTTGAGCTTCACTTGGTCTTTTACACTGTATTAAGGATATAACTAACAATTATTTTCATTATCAATTAATCTGCTTATTATTTTGGTAAGTAATTAATTAAACAGCTGGTCAAAGTAATGAATATAATAATTGATTCTCAGATTAGTAGCAAGTTAAAATGAGGATCAACTAATCGATAAATGAATCAGTTCAGCTCTATACCATATAACCTACATTTGCACCAGAATGTTGATTTAACCTTTGCCAGAAGTTGTCATTATTTTCCTTTATCTTCCAATTTTGATTTCACTGTTTTGCATCACCTCAACCATAAACAAGTAAATTATTCTTTTTACTTACTTTGAACAGTAAAAAACAACTGGAAAAATGCCATAAATGAGCTGACCGAATTATACATTTTACTTTTATAATTATTGGGAATTTGTTTGGTAAAAACTTGTACAAAATGTACATAAAATCAACATACAATCTATAAAAATGTAGTAAAAATAAATGGACCTGCAAGACTCCAAGAAGAGAAGTTAGTAGCAGATTGCAAATATCTTCTAGGCTGGGTTCAGTACAGCCGTATTAAAATAATTATAAAAGGACGCTTTTTTTCCGATTGCATCATTGATTTCTTTGTTTGTTTTCATCTAAGTAAGATCAAGCCTACAATAGAGCATTTGTGCATTTTTGGCCAAAAACCCAGTAACTACAAGCGTTGGTACAAGTCCAGATCACGCGAGCTTGTGAAGCCCAGTGTCTGTCCACATTGTTCCCAACTCTGTTCGTCAAACTGAAGGTCACCCAAAACCACAGAACACATGTTCAACAACACATGGATTCTGACTTTGTTATATTTATATGAAGTAGCTTTGTTATTTAAAAGATAGCTGGAGTGATCAGCAACAGGTGAACAAGGAAATGTTAAAGCAATGGCTATAACAGCATCGCTGTCACCAAGGCATGAATTATATATATTATTTATTTATATATTTTTATAGCTGCATATCATTACATAACAAACTGTTGAATTTGGCCCTATAATGCTGCATTGGCAACTGAATAAGTGGTGGAAAAGATAAAGAAATAGGCTCAGGGTTTCAAAATCATTTGTTTGTCAAAATTTGTTTGGAAAATTTGCACCTCCTTTGTCCAGCTTTCCCACAGTAATGTATTAAACACATACAGTATATATGCCCACTTCATTTCTGCTTTAGAAACAAACCTATTAAATGAATGCCTTCAACCTTCTCCTGCACTTAGTCAAACTACATTAGACTTCATTAACGCCTCACTGATGTCCTCAATGGGTTTTTCCTAATACTTTTATTGAGTCTTTTGTTTTTCGTATCAACATTTCTTACTTAGTAGCAAAGCAAGACAAAACATTTCTGTTCATTTTTGTGATTTCCACAGTTTCTGACAAATCCTTTGAGAACTGGATCAAACGGTGTGAGGAGATGATGGGGGGTAAGTTGCTGAACTGAAACTTCTCTAATGTCGGTGTTTTAATTTTTTTCAGTATTTAGAACTTGTGTTCTATTTTAGGTTTATTAGGATAATTAACCGTCTTTTTTAATTTCATTGCAAATTGTTTGTTTTAGTTATGGTGGTTTTAATTTTAAAAAAGGTTTCAGACTACAAAATCCATTACTAGTTGCACTCTAACATCTATATACTATTTACTCCCTGCTATCAAACACTGAGCTAAATGGCACAGTCAGGGAGCTGATGAGCCCATCTGATCAAACAAATGAGCTTGCACACATCCATAAATCTGCAGTATATGTTCACAGTAGTGGAGGGTTGAGGCAGAGCTGCTTCTTCCAATAAAAGATGCATGCCATGTCTGGGCGGTATGTTTCTGTTTGCTGGTGATGCCTGGGCCCTCTGGATCATCTCAAGTAAACAAGAGCATGAGTTTTGACAAACACGCTTCACACCCGCGTGCACACACGCTCCCAGGAGCGGTATGATTCATCAGAGTTAACGTTACTGATGTTTGAAAGCCCCCGATGAGACCCAACCCCTTCATAGGCCTGCTCACAGACAGCTTGCACACACACAAACACATGCACACCAGGGTGTACATCACCCCCTCCCCTAAAACTTGAAAGTACCCTACTTGCGTTTGCTCACGCTCACACCAGGAGCAGTCGTCATTTCTTCTGGTGACAGTGTGTTTACCGCCAGCGAACACACACACACACGGCACCTGGTTATTCCATCACATGAGGCATCCTGCTGACACAGTCAGTCTTTTTTTTTTTCTTCTTCCCCAAACAGCCCCCCTTCTTACCATTTCAAACGCGACCTCATTAAGACAACATTACCACGCCTCCTATCATCTCATCACTCTCTTCCCTCTCTATGCCCTCTCTCTCTGTAATGAAGTCAGTGAATAATGTATGATAGCATGCTGGTAAACGGTGATCAGGCTTACTTGGGCTCACAGGGCTTTTAATGGGCGTGGACGGACCAGTAAACAAACTGGTGGCAAGGATGGGCTTGTGTGTGTGTGGGGGTGGGGGGGGTGGGGCAGCAGCACATCTGCCTGCTGTTGTTTATCTGTAGACAAGTGTATGTTAGGCTAAAAGTTGTGTTCTTATAGCTGTGCAAGCATTCTATTTTAGAGACTAGAGTTTGATTTCGGCAGCTTAAGGGGGTGTATTAAATGTTTCCCAAATTTGCCTTCTCTCTTTCCAGAGGAGACACGGCTCGGCAGCGTCAACAGGGTGAGTTTCTCTGCACGGCCACCTGGGGGCATTGTTGCTCTCGGCGTCAGTAGAGAGCATCAGGCTTGTCTATGCTCCTGCTTCAAAGAAGGAAGTCTTGCTAAGCTTCCTTTGTTGTTGTCATGTTTTTTTCTCATTTTTGTCCTTTTCTTTCATCACTCTGCCTCATCGCCAAATCCTCCCCTCTAATTGTCATTGCGTCTCGGGGGCTTAATGACCCAGCAGACACCGGCAGTTCCACCTGTGAAGTAAGTGCGTAAATGTAAACACACCTTATCTAGACATCTGTTTATGTTTTTTTTTTAATGTTTATTTTATTTATTGTACTAGCGTAATGATTAACCAAGCCTCAGTGCGTCAGTAGGCCTGTTCTGTGTTTGAGAATACAATGTACAGAGAAATGCATGTTAATGATGAGCTTCTTTATATTATTCTTTTTAAGCTCTTCTCATGAAGTTTATTTTTATTATGGTTCTCTGTGTGTGTGTTTCTTGCAGACATGACTGGTACCAAACAGAATCTCAAGTCATTGTCACAGTCATGGCAAAAAATTTACCCAAGGATGGTGTGTGTGTCAGCTTCATGGAAAAAGAGGTATAAACACACACTTAAATGCAGTGTTGAAGTAACGAGTCTGTTTTCTCCGGTGTGTGTGTGTGTGAGAGACAGGGATGGGTTAGCTCTTGGGTGTTTCCTCAGGGGGGCCCATTAGATGGGTCTCATCCACACACACACAAACACACACCCTCTCCCCATGGACCCAACTATGCCTCCAGTGGTGCCTTGTTAACATTGCCCCCAAAGTACAGATCTAAGAACAATTTACCCTCCCCAGCTTCTCCAACCTCTTAATTGTCTGTAGATAGAAGGCATAACTGATCTAGGATCAGCTACAGAGCCCTCCAGGGACCACCATCTTTCTTTATCTTTTTCTCCTTTCCTTTGTCTCTTTCCACCTCTTTTTCCTTCTCTCTGAGGGGTAACTGCAGGGCACCCCAGGGAACAGCTCTGTCTTTCCTTATAGAATAACAAACGGAGTTTACCCATTTCAAGAGAAATAGTTCACTCCCTCCCTATCAGACCGTCACTTGTTAGGCTCTTTCTCTGGTGTGAAGTACAGATAAGTTCATATATTTTTTACTGGGTCAGTATATACAAAAGAAATTAAAGATGAAAGGCAGTGGCTCCAGTTATTTTCCCCGGTGACTGAGTATGCTGCAGCTGTATACCTACAGTCAGCGCAGGAATTCAACTGGAAATGAATATTAAATCTTTGATAGTTTTGTGGAATCGCCCAAAAGCTACTTTAGTTAACTTTCTAAGCTTTTATCCCCGATGAACTACTTCTTACATGTATTTGGTTCCAAAGCAGAAAAGTCCACCTCTAGAGAAATGCTAGGTGGCGATTTTTAAAAGATTGCAAGTTGAAGCGAGGTACTGTTCAACAGCAAAAACAGGCAAGTTATTCCTCTAGTGGCCATGTTTCAGTGCTTTTCCTTTTGAGAGCAGGATTTTCCAAATGACGAGTGTGAGGATTTGGGGCACAGCCAGGGCCATGTCCCTCTTAACCAACAAGCCACCCAGTCTAAGTGAGTGACAGGCTGTTAGGAGCTGATTCCCCCCCCCCCAACCCCACCCCCACCCCCCGGCTGAAGGGGACAGGGCGAGGATACTCCTGGCCGTCACGCCAGCCACATCAGATGATTATTTTAAAGGACAAGCTGACACTTTCATCCTCACCCCCAGCTCCTTGTCTTTCTTTTTGTTGTTGTGTGTTTTCTAAAGACTGCTGCTGAATAAAATGAAATATTGATACTACAGTTTGAACATGGGGATTGTTAAAATGTAAAAATGACTGGTCTGAAAGGATGATTTACTTCATGGTCACAGCACTACCTTGAAAAAGGCTTTGTAGCTGTTTACTGCCAAACTCAATGAAAGCCAATGAGGGGTGGTGCCTAATTTGTGGTTTCTCTTCAGCTCTCTGCCTCGATACAACTGGCGTCAGGAGAGAACTACAACCTCCACCTCCAGCTCCTGCACCCCATCGTCCCTCAACAGAGCAACTTCAAGATCCTCACCACCAAGGTATCACAGTCACTTCATGTTTAGTTAGTGCAGTTTGTGTGCTGTTGAAATCAACAGGGAGTCCACTTTTTAGGATGAACGTGTTGATTTTAACATGAGCAGCTATGCATTATTTACACTGTGGCATCCATTTTCGATTGTTTGACAAGTTTTTAACAGGTTTAACGGAGATTTTACGGTGGCAGATGACATGAAGCAGAAACAAACTGTGTGTCTGACCTGCATTCTGTTAAATTGTCCATTATGCACGTCAAAGCACTGTGATGTGCGTTCTCTGATGTTTGAGCAGACAGGGCAAACAACTGCGGGTTCTGTCCTTTCTGGGGTCACAGTGACCTCAACTGACAAACACTCAGTAACTGGAGATTATAAAATGGCCTCAGACTAAGCAGGTGACGTAGCTACCAGGATGCTTATGGTCATGTCATATCTGGTAAATATCTTGAGATTTCAGAGGTGTATTCAACTCAAGGGAAAGTCAGGAAAATTTATTCTTCCTCTCTGGGAAGTCATGAAATAACAAGGAATTTAACAAATAAGTAATTTAACACATCATCCTATATATCTTGTTTCATAATTACACACAGTATGTAACAGATGGTGTTTTTTTCTCCACAGCAAGCCTAGCTGTATTCGAAAATAAAACTGTTTACCACTTTCAAGTTTTTCCGAACTGAAAAACATAAACAAACAAGGAAGGACCAACATTTTAAGCTCACAGAAACGCTCTTAAGTTTTTGAAAGTCAATGAAAAGTCATTGAATTTCGCCCAGAATCATTGAGAACACTGTGTGTAGCCTTGCCAACCTATTAGTTACTATCATCAATAAAGAAGCAGACTATTAAACATGTCGGGGAACAATTTTTATGTCGCTATAAAGAAAATATGTAGTAATGTCTCACACTGGAGAAATGCGAGCACTTCTCTGACAATGCTTCAAATCTCTGAACTGCAATTTTGCTTGAGCACTTCACATGACATGTTCTGTGTGTTCAGGCTTTTACTCTCTTAATAGCTGATGTCAATAAAAAAGTTCTAGAAGAAACCCATGCCAATGCGAGTTTAAGCAGCTAACTGAAATTGTGACTGATCATTACTTAGGTTACCGCTGAGATTAACATCATAATCTCTTCAATAATTTAAAGCACTATAAAGTAGGCTGTCACTACCTATAATTCCTTAATGCTGGCAAAAGCTTATTGTAGGAGAAAAAAAATCCACTCTCGCTGTATACAGTGCAGCTCCTGTGGAGACGTTAGCGCAGTTCATCTTAGCCGCTAACAGGAGATTCACGCATATGCACAATCCTCCCTCCTACTCACACACACAGTTCACACACATTTAGAAGGGCTGTACTCGCTGAGAGTTCCTCAGCTCTGTTTAAGGTGATTATGGGCCTAATGAGTAGGAAGGGCATTTTTTACTATAGACTAATTAGTGTGTATTCTAGAGGATGTGGGCTAATGAGTGTGCTGGCTGAGTGTGTGCTGATTCAGGGTTTAGACCACTGTCAGTTTGTAGCCTGCGTATCAAGAGGCAGGTTGTTTTGCTTAATTATTTTTTAATCATTAAGGAGGAGGAATTTGTTTTTTTTAGGGCATTGATCAATCCGGCCAAAGTTTTTGGAAAATGTCACAGCATCTTCCAAAGCATCTTTAGTAGTATTCTGTTATAAGTAACTCAACAAAAGCTCATTAGATATTAGTAATTTATAATTGGTAAAAGGATAATTGTCACGTTAACTACTTGTGTCGCTTCACACAGGTGGTCCACACATAACTAAGACATATTTATGACATTATTATGAGTCTAGAAAATAAATGACAATTTAATGATCTTTACTCAACAAGGTTTACTTTGATTAAATTAAACTCTACATGAGGGAAAGAAAAGTTTATTACTGATAAAATTGTAATCATCTTGAATAGTTATGTAATGTAGGAGACAGATGACCTTTATGGGAAATGAAAGAGTTGTAATAAGATGCACAAAATGTACACAGCCACCTACGTGAGTCGAGTGGAGTGAAGATGATATTAATGCAGCTAATGGTAGATTACTGAGGTAAACAGAGTCAAATACATTATGTAAATGTCTTATGAAAAGACAAAACTGTGCAGCCTGTAGTGATTTTAAAGTGTCGCAAAAAGCTTTGGTGAAGCCAGATATTTGATTGCGTAATTTAAAAACAACAATATTACAATACACATTAGTACAATATTATGAATATTGTTGAATAATAGGGTTCAAGCTGAAACAACATTGACGTGTATATTTAGCAAACTTGTTAGCAAACAGCTTATTTACATTTCCAGCACTTTCGGAGCCACATTATCAGTCATTTGGAGTCGTGTTTCTGGCTTTTACTTTCTTTTAGCTCTGTTTTTGGTCTCTACCAACCACGAGGAAAGTGTTTTTTAGCTGCTAAATGCTCCACTGTGTGCTCCCGCTAGTCATGTACAGTAGGTTTTTATAAAACGACAATTGAGAGAACAGTGAGAGTCAACCTATCAACCCGTTATCTTAGTTTGTGAAATGGAAAAAAGGTCAACATCTTTGTATTTCTAAGTAATATGAGTACCAAAACTCCATATTGTATCAGCACTTATATCAAAACATTGCAGACTATACCCAGGGCCAGTCCTATTTATGTTTCTGTTAGATCTATATTTGTGTATCATCGATGAACAAGCATAAACAAAAAACAAGGGCCTGAAAAGATATGCTATGGTATTAACATCAAAAAACATGCAAGCCAAGCCACATAGTTTCTGAAGGCAATTATGATATTTATTTTAATTTATTTTACAGCAAGGCCACAGGGGGAATGAAAGGGCAGTACATGATCACAGGCGCTGGAATCACTGTATGGTGCCACGGTAGCAAAAAGATGTTTGATTAGTAGCGTTACATAACCTGACGACTATATTGTGTGCGTTATATCCAGTGGCTCCACTGTGCAAAGTGGAGGCTGACCTGCACAGAAACTGCCCCTTCTCAAAAAAAAAAAACTCTTGCTCACTTTCTCACTTTTCCATGGCAACAGCAGAAACTGCATACCAGAGGTGCACGTGGGTTGCAGCTTAAACAAGGGCTCAGTCTTAGAGAGACCGCAGCTGAACATGGTCTCTGACTCTCTCTGTCCTCTCTCTACAGTCTGTCTTTTTTATCCCTCTTTTTTTTTTCCTCATTTACCTACTTTGTCTTTATTTTGTCAGTCTCTCTGTCAATCAGACCGACGTGCACCTTCTATCTCTCGCTCTGTCTTGGACTCACAAACACACACATACACGCACACACTCACACACACACCTACCTCTAAGATAACGAGAGGGAGTATGTGAGTGTACAAACCCTCCTCCTCTCCCACAAAGCCCTGACTGTTCCCTGGTCCACTGGGCTCCTCCGGTACACATGGCCCCTACACACACACACACACACACACACCAGGGAACTCATAAGCCCTCGTTGGTAATTGCAGCATTCAAAGGTTTGAGACGGCATAAGAGCACCTAACTCTTTTTGAAATCTCCAGGTGAAATGTATGCGCACATGCACAACAGTGTGAGAGACCCAAACGAACTGAGCAGCTTTCTCAATTCTCATTTAAATATTTTGGAGCCGTTTCCGAAGCCAAGGAGCCACTGGGGGAAAAAAACATTCAAATGAACAACGGCATCAGCAAATCAAGTTTCTCCAGATTGGCATGCATCCCAAATGAGCGTTTAAAAAAAAAAAATGCATTGCCCTCGGAGCTGTTGATTCCCAACTAATGTCGGTCTGTCTGTCTCTGTAATAGGCTGCCCTGCACTCTTCGCTCCACAATGTTTACGCTCCATCTCCCCGCTGTCTTTAAAGACAACTTAGCAGGGGGAGGCTAAGCCGGGCATGAGTGTGCAAGCACATACACACACACACACACACAAATACAGAGGCTGAACCGTAATCTTTCGACACACTTGTGCCACTTACACAAAGTATTTGCTCTGTGTGTGTGTGTGTGTCATCTGTAGCACATTATTGTCACTGCGACCTCCTCCTGTCCTCCACCACGACAGACATTCCAACCACAGGGGTCACCGCGACAACGGGGAGCCAATTACACACCAGTGTGTTTGATCAGAACAGACGGCTGACGCACACACACTTGGGCGTGTGCGCGCAAACACACTCAACGCAATTTCGCATCCACAATCGTTCATTCAGTCCCAAACTCATCTCTTTCTGGCAAATAGCTAAAGTGGCGTCTCCCCTCTTTAATTTGCATGCCTGTCAACGTCTAAGGATGTTTATATTTATTTCATTTCTAGCCGAGCTTGTTTTGAAATCCGTGGGGATCTGGAAAAAGAAGATGCTGGGTGAGGAGTCGTGGCAGGGGCGGGGGGTGGTAGTTACAAACACATGTGACAAGCGACACGGGACCCCAGTGCCCCTCTGTAAATAGCATGTGTGTGTGTGTGTGTGTGTGTGTGGGTGTTATGCTGTATTGTATTGTCCAGCCATGGGTTCCTGTGGGTGGTGGCCCCTGTATGTGACTCTGCTGTCACATCCCTTTATGAGCAATTGCATTGCCTGTCACACACACAGAGACGCACACACACACACACACACACATGGCGCCTGACCTGCCATGTCCCTTAACAGCCAGGAAACACAGATGTGGCAGCAGATTAATGTTGTATGGCCCAAGAGCACGCATAGAAGCGCACACACAGAGCGTCGGCTCAAGCTCCGCTGCAAAAACATTCAAGACAATTAATGGCACCCGCAACACTGGCTGGCAATTTTAAGACGATAACATTTAATTTGCTTGATGTCCAGTCTTTGGTCCTGTAGACGTTGTCTCTGCCTTTGACTTTCTATGGTCATTTACTATTTTTAACACAAAAGTCAGACTGTCTATTGAGTTGCTTTCAAAACTGAATACGTAAACTCTACTGGCCAGATAGCTGGTCTAAGATTTAAGGTCAAAATATGTAACTTCACCCACAGGAGTTCAAAAATCTAAACACATAAAAAAATTATGTAAGAAATAGGCGTGTGCGATATGTATCGTCTGCAAATATATCTTCATTGTTGTTTTAACAATGTGTGAGGAGACAATATCAAGTAGGCTACGTCACTGACAAACACCTCATCTGCGCAGTCACTGCCAATCTATGTTGTTAGATTAAAAACAACCTCACTCACATGGAGGTGGTTTGGCTTTATAAAGACAGATGTTGCTCAAAAGACGTCAATCTCGGTTGCCGTTAAAGACCACTAACTAACCACCGCACAGATTCTCAAGAATATGAAATGCTTCGGGAGTCCGCTGTCCACTACAGGACAAAACCAGCCAAGGTACCAAACACCGCTACAGTGATGATGACAGAATCAAAGCTACTAAGACAACAGCTACGACAGAACTTAATATAGTTAATATAGTGACAGATGAAATGTTTGCACAGTTTGATACTTGCCCTGGTGATTTCAGTGTTTTTATATTGTTTTCACTTAAATACTTAAGTTTGAAATACATTAATAAGACCTGTTTCCATTAATATCATTAGTAAGCAACAATTAATATCCTATAGTTATCCATTCCTGTTTGGCTCCCAGACTGTAGTTGGTAGAATTTGTCTTTTTCCCGGGTCATAGTTGATAATAACTTCGGGGCTAACCCCCTTCAATCTTTCTTTAACAGTTTGCAAGCAGCACACTGGAGTTCCGCTTTAGTCTTGAGAAGCTGCAGTCTTTATTCGCCGGCCACTGTAACTTACACTGTACATTACTGCTTAACTAAGGACGTATTGCTGAACCTTTGCTCTGCCACACACGCTACGCTCACACTTGACTTTTTGACACGCACATTTTTGAAGGATGCCAAATGTTGTCTAATTATCATTATTGACAAAATCCCAGAAAATATCTAGATATTGTTTTTTGTCAGTATTGCACACCCCTCATAAGAAATTAAATTTAACTTAATCAGAATTACAAGCACTGCTACAAAGGCCATATGAGCCTGAATGTCAATTAGCCGTATTTATCAGCCATTAGACCGGGTCTGTCAGATCAGTATTTTTATATAAAGTTTTTTTATATTTCTATATAAGTCCTCAAAGCACCGTGAGACCCCCAACAGAGCCCAAAAAACTAAATCTGTTACCCGATTTCAGGTGCATCTGTCAATACAGAAATTATTATATATTCAAAGACAAGCTGTCTCAAAAATGGATTAAAATCAGCTTGTCAAACACACACAGTCACAACTGATGAACAGGGTTTAATAAATCAACATAGAAACACTGATGTATACTGTATAATTTACAATACTAATAGGTTTATGTTTGAGCCATCAGTGTTTATTATTTCAGTCTACACTAGATTTTGGACAGTAAAAACAGCTGCATTGGCCTCTGTGGTTTGGAAATGATTACACCCAACATCAGAGCTGCATATGGTCAGATGTGATGCACTGTACTTGGAACCACACCAGTGGTCATGTAGAATGGTACTATAGCGCCAAGATACTAGGACTGCAGCTAACCATTTTTTTCATTCGCGATTAATCTGCAGATTATTAACGCCAGAACACAGATCATTTAAAAATGCCTGTTATAATATCTGAAAGCTTCTAATATCCTTATTTTATACAGCCAGCTGTCTAAAACATTAGATATTTGGTTTACTTTCATATATGAAAAAAAAAGCATTAAATACTAAGAAGCTGAAACCAGAGAATGTTTTTTGCTTAAAAATAATGACAAAGATCACTTAAATAGTTAAAAATAGTTGCCAATTAATTTTATTTTGATCGACTAATTGATTAATGAACTGTGAGTGTGAATGGCAGACTGCTGTTTTCGGAGAATTGCACCGGACACAGCCCCCAGTCCTGATGTTGAAAAGCTGTGGAAGAGTGTCTGAATTTAAATCAACACAGAATCAGACTGTGTGCACAAACCTGCAAAAAAGTAATTTTTGAAGGATAACTGTGATTTTTTTTTTTTTTTTGGGCAGTAGCCTGTATTCTCAGCAGAGATCTTTTTTTAGTCTCTCAGCCCCTTCGCAGGTGAGCCACAAAGTTAATTTCGGACACTGTACAGATGACTCGCTGTGCACAAGGCCCTTTTGTGGGGCAGAAAGCGCTGACACGCACCAAAGTGATCTATCAGTGTACCGCCACTCGCACTAGCTCATCGCCTCGGTGGAGAAGGTAGCAGCGATCATACTGTCTTATTTCCCTCAATCTGCTCCCCTCACTCACTCTCTGCCTCCTCGTCTCTAACCTTCGTCTACCTCTTGGTTCCCTCTTCTCCTCTGGCACCCTTATAAATGAATCATCACATCGCCCAGCAGAGCAGAAATGTTCCTTAATTGCACCGACACAACCAGCCCTGTCTTTCACATGCACACATATCAAACACACACACACCGTTAATAGGCGGTAGGGGGTGGGTGGGGCGTGGATAGCGCGACAGCTCGCGTGTCTCGCTGGTATGTGCCCTGTCAATGCAGCTCAGCGTTAAAAAGCGCGTGTCCACGTTCTCCCTCTCTCTCTCCTCATTGTTTTCCTCCTCTCCCATGTTCCGCTGGTGTAATGATTTGGATCAGATGCTGCTGTGTGGAATTAGGATCCCATCCTCCCCCTCTCCCTCCCGCTCGCTCTGTGCCTCACACTGGCCCTCTGGCTGACAGGCATCTCGTTAGTGCAGTATGTCTGTCAGTGAGGTTCGAGATTGAGCTGTGCCCCCGCATATCCCTGATGTCTCTCTCTCTCTCTCACAGACACACAGACACACAGACAGCCTCTCTGGCCTCAATAATGATCTGATGTCCTGTACTTTTAAGATGTCACTCTAATGGAAGCGTTATTTTTGTCCCGCGCACCAAAGAAGTGCATTTTGTTAAACATTGTTATCCCCCCTCTCCCTTATCACCCTTCTCTTCTGTCAGGTGGAGTTCAAGATGAAGAAGACCGATGCCATCAGATGGGAGAAGCTGGAGGGAGAAGGACAGGAGTCCAACATCAAACACTTCAATCCGAGTCAGTCTACAGCTTCTACATTTACGCTCTTTTCCCTCCTATTCCCCCCTCAACCATCCTCCTGTCTCTGCTCTCATCTCTCCCCTTTTCCCTCACCCTCCTCTTATTTCTCTCTCTCTGCAAAGATCAATATAAGCTTCTGTGTTTGTCTGTTCTGCACTAAAATGAGAGTGGGCAGTCAAGCCCTGCTAGAGCCTTTCATTAGTCTGACGGCAAAAGTAGGCAGGGAGAGAGGGAAAGGTATGACAGCAAGATGTGACTCAGTATTTTAGCCCACACATTCCTATTACTGACAGGATTAATTACTTATGTAAGTGTGTGTGAGTGGAAGGGGGAGTAAAAGTTAAGTGGGCAGCCAAACTACCCTTTCCATGCAACCAGCTCAGCCTCCAGGACACCCTGTTTGTTAAGAGCCTGCTTATATCTTGGACTACTGTTACATTTAAACACGATAGATGACATCTGATTTTATGGGATCACATTGCTGTATGTCCACACTTGGCCTGAATATGTCCACACTTGGCCTGAATCTGTCTACTGTGCGTCTGGTGCTGTATTTATGCAAATCTGCGTCTGGATTACATTTCCCGCTCTCCCTCTCCATCTCTTGTTGGGATTATAGTGGGCGTATTTCATCCTGAAAATATAGAAATCAAATCACAATGCGATCCTTCAGCGACTGAGTTGGATGATTCAGTAGCAAAGTGAGCAGAATTATTTTAGTGTAATACATATTGGTTAGATGATTAGATGATAAAGTCAAGGTATTAAATTGCATTTATTTCAAATGTCAAAAACATTATTGTAAAAATATGTAAAATGCTATTTGTTTCAGTTTTTTTACAGGAATTGAAGAGCTCTTCTTAGCGTCTTACCAATGTCTCTGCGCTGCTTTAAAATCTCATTTCTCTGATTTAACTGTATGAACTTGTAGTGTTTTTAACACAGTCCCTTCTACATCAGATCAGTACCCATCATCGTCCCACTATTCCTGCAAATGGGACAAGATGGTGGTGGACATCAACGAGGAGGAGAAAAGTGAGAAGCTGGAGGGAGATGCAGCGCTTAACAAGCTCTTCCAGCAGATCTACTGCGATGGCTCAGATGAGGTCAAGCGAGCTATGAACAAATCCTTTGTAAGTATTATACTTAAGTTACTTTAGTCTTTAATGCTGGTAATCACTTAAACCGCAATGCCATAGTAGCCAGCTATTTTTTGCACACAAAGATCCCTGGTCTTATTCTCATAATTGTGGATGCTCTGACTTGGGGTCATGCTAACTTTGCACTCTCCACCTCTGTTAGAGATTCAGGAAGCTCAACTCCAGCAAAACAACATATGGAAGCAGCGCTAGCATCCGAAAGCTCTCAAAATTAACATACATTTAACACAACACAGTGGGAATCGAACCCGGGTCTCTCACACCAAAGGCATGTATCTTATCCATTGCGCCATCTCCTTCTACCTCTTCCTCCTCCTCCTCCTATCTGCGGTTCTGTTATTCACTGCCTGCAGGTAACGTTAACTGGTTGAAAAAGGAGCACCTAGTTTGTCTCAGCCAGCAGCTTTTCTCCCAATAAGTTAATATACAGCAGGATTTTCGGATAATTTATCGCCGTTGATGAACCACACAAACAATATTTTATCGTTTTTAAATAGCCGGCTACTTGAAATAGACCCGCAAGGTACTGCGACGTGCATGTAGTTGTCGGCAGCTGTAACGCAAAACTCACACAAGACCAGTGAATGACAGGCGAGAGAGAGAAAAGGGTCTTCAAAAAGCCTCAGTTTAGCTGGAAATTTACAGTGTAAGTTCAATGAGAGACTGTAGCTCTGCAGCTTCTCAAGAATAAAGCGGAGCTTACCGTGTGTAACACCCCCCCCCCCCCCCCCCCCCCGCTCGCGCAATTCGCCACACACAAAAAGACATGATTCGACTATTAGTCGACTATAGGCAGGACTTGACGATTCCGATTCGACTATGTAAATCCTTAGTCGGGGACAGCCCTACAAGAGACATAACGTTACATTGTAGGACCCGCTAGTCTTGATGGCAGTATCGATAAGTTCGGACCTTATTGATTTTCAGGTTTTGAGAAAGTTTGGAACCGGGTCCTTTTAGAACCGGCTATCGATCCCTATCCCTACTCTGAGCTCTTAAGTTTGGTTTTCGCCACAAATTGCAGGAAGTGTTGCTTTGGAACAGACAGTCTTTATCATCGTCTAATGATATTGCTATTAAAATATAGATTTTATACCAGGCGAGGATGAAAATATCATCTTTTCCTTTATTGCATCTCCGTTTACTCTTTAATAGCTAAATAAATATTAGAATATTATATATAATAATAATAATAGAATATTAGATTATAATATTCATATAAATTTATATTCCTTAGCTTCTTACCTATCAAAGGACACCAGAATTATGCATCTAGACCTAATGGTTGAGGAGTTATTCCTGATGCATTCTGGGTATGTTAATTTAGGCTTTTTTCCTGGAAATGGGTGTCTGTGTTTAAGAGGTTAGAATGAGGTATGGTCAGGCGCATTGTTGGCGCATTGCTATCTTGAGGCAGCAGAAAGTGATTGTGCCATTCACCAACAAAAACCTGACCCTGTCTAAAGTCAATGACGCACTATTTTCCTGCTATTCAAAGAGTGCATTATTCTAAAAGTGAGATGCTCCCCAGAGAGACGCTGTGCGCATTTACGCACAAAGCACAGCAACATAACGTCATTGCTTGTTTAAATGTCCCACTCCGACAGGATCGGTAGGGATGCACTGACAGCAGCCTTTCTAATCATTAATGTAAATCGTTAAATAAAACACTCATACATCAGTACAACACACAATAAAGAAATCACCTGGAAGATAATAATGCAGCGCAGTGAGGATACAAATGTTTCATAGAGGAGATGAGCATCTGCAGTGTAGTTCATACACTTCACTGATAAACCACAGAACTGAAGAGGAACTTTAGGCTTCATGATCAAAGAAAGTCTTTATATTACGTCGACATTGTTATCCATATTCACACACCATCTCTCACTCGTCCACATGAGCTCACTCTCTCTCTGCTGCAAAAAACCTTTATTTATATATTATTACGTTGTTTATAATGTGCCGTTATTCTAACAATCTAATAGCAATGCGCCAAGGTACAAGCACACCTGGCATTAAAAGGGAATGGGCGATTTATTGCATGTTATGCGCAAAACACACCCATGATTAATTAAGACACCACAGCCCTTTTGAACCATGCGCCTGGCGCACCGACCATTTGTTCTGTCGGTAAACTAGCAAAAGTGGTTTCGGACACTTCACACTGTGCACTTTGATTGTAAAAATAGGTCCCTTACAGTCAGGTGCATTTCAAAAATCTTGATGATAATGTCTTACAGCTCCATTTGAGTTAGATCCTTGTCTGTGTACTCCTGTTAAAATACTTGTGGTCAACCATCAAAGGAAAATCAGTCATAATCGTCCTGGTAATAGTCCACTGGATAACCAACCATTGCTCTTAGTTTCTTTGAATTTCCTTTAGAAAATATTCGGCCACTGAAATTAATCGGCCGAAAATAGCAAAAAAAGCACTTTCGGTGTTCGGCCTAGTAAGTCAAAAGGCCAATTAAATTTTACAGATCAATTACGTTGACATGTCGGCAGTGTGGAAGCATCTTAAAGTGACCGAGAACGACGCGAAAATTGTACTGCTGAATTGGCTCCTAGCACATCCGCTCCATCTGTGGCTGGCTTCTTAGAAAAGGCAACAAACGGTCTGACCAGCTTTGAGTGTTTCTGTCACTCGTTTGTGAGAAGGCAATTAAGCTAACCGCACCTAAATTTGGAGTGCACACATATTCAAGCATTTATGGTAACTGAAACGGACCAGAGCGAGCTGACAGGCAGTTTAGCGACTTTATCTTGTCAGTTTCTCTCTTTACAGAGACGAGTGTTGCAGTATGAGAGTCCTACCTGAAGAGAGTCTTTATGTTAAGCGATATGAGGATACACATGTGACAAAGTCTGGTTTTCAAAATAAGGTGTCTATACAGTATGGAAATAAGATTAATTTAATTATATTCATAGAACGTATAAAACATGTGTACATTAAAAGTAAATGGAGACATGTAATTTACTTTACTGGATCCTCTTGGGCCTCAGACCCACCCACCATAGTCTCTCCAAATCCTGTGGGAAACACGGAGTAGAAAGCACATTTTGACTATTTAATTTATGCAATGGTGTAAAAAAGAAAAATAGGCCAAAATGTGAATGTAATTGTACAGTAATCTGGGTTTCGGCTAAGGCCAAGAATTTTCATTTCGTTGCATCCCTGTTGTAAACAGTCCTTCTCCAGCGTGCACACACCCTGAATTGACAGGGACCCCAGCCTCACACATGTATCCAAACATCCATTCGGGACAGTCGTCCCAACATTTATGTTAATTGTCAAAAATGTCCTTTTAATTAAAGCAAGAAACTAAAACGTACAGCCTAAAGCTGATACATTAGTTGTTGTTGATAAACACATATTTATGAGGAATACAACACATGGAGAAAGGAACGATGCAGCAAGACATTGTCTGGTTACTGAGCTTCAGTAAGACCTCATTTATGTGCATGTAAGGATGTGTGTAAGGGTGTGTGATTGATGCTAATTGATGATTGGCATTTTGTGTTATTGATCTAATAGTGCCGGAGTACCACGGTACACTTGAAAAAAAGATTTGCTGTCATTTCCAACGTACAGCCTAAAGCTGATGGTGTTCCTAACATCCATGTGGAGTAGTAATTTCTGCATTTGACAGACCGGACCTTCAGGAGAACAAAGGTCCCTCCTGACCCTGTTTTAATTATTTTATGAAATAACAAGAAAATTCAAAATTAGTTACTGGTCAAACACAATCCACCTTGTTAATCAATACTTATGCAGTCAGTGATGCTGCAGTGGACTTGTCAAAGCCCTAAGCACTTATAAGCAGAGAAGAGCAGTAATGAAATGACAGATCTTTCCACTGAAGTGATTTCTCTCCTCTCCTCCCTTTGCAGATGGAGTCAGGTGGTACAGTCCTGAGCACCAACTGGAAAGATGTGGGCAAGAGAAAAGTGGAAATAAGCCCACCGGACGACACAGAGTTCAAGAAGTTCTGAGCACACCCCCCCCCCCCTTTCTTTCTCCTTTCTGTCCTCTGCTTGACATCATCTTTCTTCACATTTGTCCATCCGAATTCCAGCAGGAGTCCTCGTTGCCCTACAGACTTCGTGGCCACTCTTCTTCCTCCTCTTCCCAACCTCTCAGTTGTGCCGTTGCTCTGGTGTTTTCACTAAGTGCAGGGAGGCTTGGTGGTCCCACTTTCACTGGACCAAATCACTCACAGCCTACTCTCTGCTATAACTTACTACCAGACAGGGTCAGTTCATTTGAATAATCTGATTTAGTTACAGTACCAGATTTGTAACGGCCCATGGACTCAAAAGGGTACTACGGTCTGGATTAAAATGTGACTGACACACCTGAAATGCTTCAGTTCAACTTTCAGATCTGGTTTTAGAGCATCCATCTTCTTTTCTCTCCTCTGCCTCTCCTGGTTTTTCTCAAAACGCCCACAGCCTTTCTATTTGGGAGCCTTTTATGACAACCTATTTTCAGCAGTTGTATAAAAATGTTACACAAAAAGTAAGAATAAGAACCAATTGAGATGTTTAAATTAGAACTATGATTGCACTTCTTCTTCTTCTGTACTCACACAAAAGTCAACAGCGAAACCGACTTCTGGAATGTGTGTGACATGTCAGCCAGTGGCTTAGCACCGTCCGGTCCCTCAGTGTGATTCAAGCTTCAGTGTAAATAAAAAGATTTGTTGTTTGGCTCACAAACTTTGTTTCGTGTGTTACGGTTTGTTGTCTCTGGAAGCTGTGTTGGACAGGTTTGAAAGTCTCAGAAGGTGCGAAAAACGGCAATATATCATGACGTGGAGGCCATGCTCTGTGATTGTGTGCTGGGAGGAATGAAATGTGGCATCACTGATAGGAGTGCAGGCAGCTCAGATATGGCTGACAGCCTGAGGATACAGTTTACGTATCGCAGTTCGATTGGTATCAAGATGGAGAGCCTTGCAGCCTCTTGGCCAGCAGGCAAGGATGCAGCCCTGAGGTGTAGTGGTGATTTACAGTCACAGATGTGGGAGAGCAGGCGCCTCCCCTGTTCTCCAACCACATATATGTGGCAGCTGTAGCTGTGAGGAGGCGTCCTGCTGCTGCAAGAGAGCATTAATATGGATCAGCCTCCTAACCGCATCATCAAGCCTCTCGCACTGAGTTAAGTGTTAAATTCATCACACATCGTTTCATCTCTCGTGATGATCAAACGCCCGTTTGTGGCTCTGGATGAAACTCTTAGCTTCACAACACACACAAACACACACTCCTCCACTATCCTTGACACACACAAACACACCGCCCCCATCCTTACCCCCTACCCCTGCCTGAGGCGGCTCTGTGACATCAAAAAGAGCTAAGCGCTTTGCATCGTGGGTAAGATCTGGGAGCGTGACGGCTACAGAGTCTTTAGTCTCATTAAAGAGTTCTAGAGCTGCAACTCCCAACATTAAAGAACTCTGGAAACTTCATTCTGCTCATCCCTTTGGAGCAGCTACTAGATGTGACACATCTCAGAGCTGAAAAGTGTCTTTTGAGTGTGCAATAGAGAAAGAAGAGGGGGGGTTCCCAAATAAACTCAGTGTTTACAAATAGGATATAAAGTCATTGGGTCATTAACAAAAAAAGAGGGGTGACACCTTAAAGTTTACTTAAAAAAGTTTATTCAGTGATATTGCACTTTGAGATAGCTTCTTCACTGCAGATGAAAATACATTTAGATGAAAGTTTCTGAGAGAACAGTACATTGTTTTAATGAGAGCTACTCTTGAGGACGAAATAGGGAAAGGAAAGAAAAGAAAATTAAAAACACAGGAGTCAAAAATATTTCTCACTGAAGTGATGCCAAGTTAAACAATGGATGCTGTTTTAGCCAGCTGACTGCTATTAACATACTTTGCATCCTATACATTTATTTACATCAGCAAAACGCGAAGAATGAAAGCAAAGGAATGATTACGAGCTCTATAAAACAAGCTTACTTTTCCTATAGATAAACAGGTGGCGTTATATTTGTGTGATATGAATCTTGGTGTCAATAGATGTCGATGCTTTTATTTGAAAGCAGGTTTGTTGGATGTTTCATAAAATAACTTCTGTTATAAATCTAAATCGTCTGTCTAAATCAAAAACAAGACAAGCTGTGCAGTGAGCAGCTACTGCATACCTTTACATGTGAGATCGTGTCTGTCCTAGATTCTGTGCGATGCATTTATAATGTGTGGACACGGTTTTCTGATGCTGTTCATTCCCTGCGAATCTGCTCAGACCAACAGGTAACTACAGGAGATGACGATAAGCAACCCCCATCTCACTTTCCTAAACGTTTTCCTTCCCTTGGATCCCCATCCCTCCCTAGTTTCTTCCCTCTTGACCCATCTCCCAGATGGGCGGGGGTGTCTACACAAGACCCAGAATGCGTGCCACCCACCAGTTGCAGGGCATGATAACTCTACAGACCACCCTGCAGCCTCTGTAGTGGTACGGCCACGGTTCATACCCTCCCAGCGGCTCGCAGATCCTCTGGCAATGGGTATAGCTGCGACGGCACTCCGTGCAGCACACACCCTGGTGGTCCAGCATGGGGTTGATGTTCATGGTGTCCTCCTCGCCCTCGAGACCTCTCTGAGGTGAGACAAAGAGGACAATGGTCAGAGTGTAGGCCTACACAGTGTTTGTGTGACGCTCTGTGTCTTTAGCGGCAGAGAGCCCTCATTTCAAACCAATTAAAAATGGATTTCCGACAAGCTAGATGGGGAGGAGGGGATCTTGTCAGATGTGGGTTTTTTGTTGTCAAATATTTTCTTTTTCATCGCCGTACTTGCTGTTTAGCCCCCTCTGTGGTTGTCAGGAGTGTGTAGCAGGGGTTGGGGGATGCTCGGAGTGAGAAGGGAGAGGGATTAGGAAAAATGGGGCCCAAAATAAGGGGTGAGGATGGAGGGCATTGGGGTGTGTATGTATGGCAGTCTGTGTGTGCTCAGCAGGGGAAAGGGAGGGGGGGTGTTGTGGAATTATTCATACAGCCTCAATGCTGAAAGGAAAGCTTTGGACAGGCTCAGACAGCCTCGCATAGAAAACGTGTGCACAGAAAACACCCACGCATACACTCAGATTTGCAGTGACAATTCGGGTCCCTCCGCCGTGACCCCGGCATCTGCTGCCGCTCGCACAGCTGTGAGAAACTCTCCTCAGCAGAAGCCCTCTCAGGTAGCCCTCAGATGTGAACGGACAGTCGCGGACGCTGTGGCGGGACATAAACACAACAGAAGAAGAAGAACGTGTGAGTTTGTATGCGTGACTCACCATATAGGGGTTCTCCGGGTTGAACTCTGCCTCCACGCCCTCCTGCTCTCCCTCCACGGCTGCCTGGCGGCGCTGGCGGAGGGCGGCCCTCCTCTTCCTCTGTCCGCCTGCACACATCACAGTCTCAGTATCTGACAGCAGACCAAATTTAGGAGCGGAGTGGCACTAATGTGGCTCGGCTCCTGATTGCACAGCCGTTTCTCTGGCAGCATTTTGAAGTCCTCAGATGAAGTAGAATAAAAATTGTGTTTTGAGAACTTTTGACCTCCCAGCTTGCTAAAAATTGTACACTCGGGAGCTCAGGAACTTCAAAAGGACTCCTGCTTTTCTTTTAAGCCTGTTTTTCTTTCTGTGGCTTAAACAACTGCGATGTTAAATGGAAATTATTGAGACCGTTTGACCCATATCCTCTTTGTTTTGTGAAAAGAACTCGCATAGCCTTACAAAAATTGAGGGTTTTACTTTGGATCCACATTTTCATATCTTTACCACTAGCTGTCTGATTGCTTACTGGTTGAGTAGGTGGGACGGAGCCAGAAGATTGGCAGGTCTCCGCACAGATCCTTGATCTTGTTGCTGAGGAAGGCGGAGTCCGAGAGGGGAGTGTCAGCCGCCACCCAGATCAGATCATCCTCAAATTTGGCTGGCATCACCTCGTCCTCCTTAAAGAAGGTGAAGAAGGTGAGTAGACGTGAGCTGACACCCAGTGCAGAAGCAAACACACCTTGTAACAGAACATCTGAAGACATCCCTTGCTGCTGAAGGCATGATATCATACTTGTTTATATATCTTGTTACTAGCCTTCCCCTTTAAATAGCCCACAGTCTTTGCATCCTGTCCGAATCTAATCTACATTAATGTTGCGCTGTTAATGCTCCTTATAACAACATAAAATCAAGTAGTAAAAATAAAGCCCTTGAGGCTTTAGTATACAGATTCCGTTTGCGCAAACATTTAGCTGTATACACAATGTCAGGACTCATCAAGATCTGAAGGGAAGGAGAGATTGGATGGCCTAAATTTGCAGGTTTCTGCAGATAAACTAATGAGATTTTCAGAGGAGAGACTGTGTAAACATGCATACTCTGTATCCACAGCCTGCCGGTAAAAGACGAATTCTGTGGGGATGATTTTGCCCAGAGGCATTTGTTCCTGGGGGCTGCACTGCACTAGTCACAGCCATGTTTAGGGAATGTTATCCTCCAACCTTCCACAAATGCCGTTTTCTTTTTTTTTTCTCCTGCTCAAATGATTTGCTGGAGGGACAAATAAAAGCAGGGGTCCTTCTCAACTGCTCGACTGATAAGACTTTATCTGACCCGCTCTCTGGATGGCAGCGCGTGTGTGTGTGTGTGTGTGTGTGTGTGTGTGTGCGTGCTTATCTAACCCATATTTGGCATCACTCTATATTATAGCAAATGACCAGCCTGCAGCAACCATTATAACAACATCTCCCATCCCCACACACACACGCACTCACGCACACAAACATGAACCAAACGATCATTTATGAGGCAATGAGAGGCAGTAACACAAACACACACAAAAGCACAAACGTGAAATAAATGATCTTTTATGGGGCAGAGAGAGGCAATAAGAGCAGCCCTGCGTGATAATTAATTGTGCAATTGCGTGTGTTTATGTGCGTGTGCGTTCACGAGGGCAAATCTTGTGATGTGGATTTATCTGGATGTGAGGCTTATGCAGAGCTAAATGATCTTAATCATCAGCAGTCACAGGAGCTGGTGTATTGAGATCACAGTCCACACATGCACATATGGTATTTTCAGTGTAGTCGTCTGTTGTTTTTTTGTTCAATTTTTTAATTTAATTTAATAAAATCCACCAATCTGTTAAGTGATGGGAACCCACACATGGAAATTACCCATGTGTTTCTGGTAGATCATTAACTCGGGAGATTCATGCTAATACCTCAGCATAAACTAGCTGTACATCCAAAGTGAGAGCTTGTAGTGTATCTCTAAAGCTCAGCAAAGAATAACCAATGCAGTAATACAACTTTTAGTATTGGTAATAAATACTTAAGGGTTTATACAGGCTTTATAAATGGGCTAATTAAACTGTTATTATTGCCTTTTAGTAATCAGTAATCAGCTTTTTTTAAGAGCAATGTTTTGGGTTAGCCAGGTTTGACAAATCCCTTGATGTATATACTCCTCTGGCATAACTTGAATTGTCTTTTTAGCTGTCTTGTTATTGTGTCTGTCTATTATAACTATTATTATTACTGAAAAACCCTTGGCCCTTTATTAATGACCTAGTAACATTTGTATCTTTAGATTTGATAGTTTGATTAGAAAGTCAGGAAGCCGTTCATAAAGGGGGATGAGTCATCAATTCTGCAGTTTTAAATGTCAGTAAGTCATTAATATAAGTTTCTCCAGCTGCAAAATCT